TGGAGATCAGAGAACGAGGGGCTGACAGGACATTTTTAAGCTCGGCTCAGGACAGTTAATTTCTTTACCTTGGCCCTTATGACTTTTACTTCTTCTTTAGTTGCCATTCAAGGTAAATTAATTCTATTTTCTTGCACGAAATTTTCAAAGGTTTTATTTATTTATTTATTCAATGTTCAAGAGAAATAATTTTAGTATTTAGAGTTTGATGCTTTGTCAGTTGTTCATGTTTTTGTTACTGTTTTTACAGTGGATGCACCACTTACTCTGTCCTTCTCAACTTACATGTCCCTGGTCGTGGTGTATGGGAACATTTTGATATACTGCCGTAAAAAGTTGTTGGTAAAAAAACGTTTCACACATACATACAATAAAACTAGTGAAAATAGTTTTCACAAAAGTAGTAATTTATCAAGAATTTACAGTACAAAATTGTTATGTGAATTTTAGGTCCCTTGGTATTGGTATGTTGTCCTGGGCTTCGTTGACGTCCACGGGAAATACATCGGTAAATACGACATTCTTAAGTCGACGTGTTTTGAAATACAAACTTTTTTTTAAATAAAAGACGTCGATTTTAACGTGTCGATCATTCAACGAAATAAAAGATGAATAATGAATATAAATTTTGATCTAAAAGGTATTGATTTTAAGGAGACACCCTTGAACATGTTTAAAATTAAATTTCATTTCATAGTTTTTTTTTTATATATATAAACTTTTTAACATTTTGTTCATAACAATTAATAAATCATTCCAATTTGCATCTATTACAAGTGTGACAATCCTGGATTGTTGGACAATAGCATGGACAGTCATTCTCACATGGATTTTCTTGGGTACAAAATACTCGGTTAATCAGTTTGTGGGTTCGGCTGTTTGTGTGGCCGGCCTCAGCCTAGTCTTCCTTTCTGATGCAGGGGTGGCCGGTGGAGGTGACCTTTTTCGATCCTTTTATCAAAGTGAAATTATATATACAAATTTTTTATTTTCCAATCAAATTAAGTGTCTTTGTACATAAGTTTTGTTTCATCAGGTGGTTCGATTCCTGTTTTGGGTGATTGTCTTGTAATCGCAGGCTCGTTTTTTTATGCAATAAGCAATGTTGGAGAGGTCTATTTTGTTAGTTACGACAGTGAAAATACCATACACTTATACTTTTTTGTTTTTTCGCTCTTCCCTTTCGAGTTTTTTAAGCAAATTTTGATTGCGATAATCATGAATTTTGTGTGAAGGAAAAAGATCAAACTGAGGCAGTGGCTATGATTGGCATGTTCGGCATGCTCGTTAGTGCAACTGAGATGTATCCTTTGTCAAATATTTGTTGTCCAATCGGTTATATTTGGCTACCTAAATGTTCATCGTCATCTTACTTCCATTATTATTAGTGTCTTAATCTTGACCTTTTCGTGTTAGTACTGTCCTCGAGAGGAAGGCATTCGAGTCGGTCAAATGGTCTGTTGGACTTGTAACTTGTAAGTATTGACTCTAATGTGGTTGGTTTATTAACCTTCTGATTTTCAAATTTTTATTTGTCATTGTTGTTTTTGTTCTAGATTTCAGCTTATGCTGGTTATGCAGTGGCAAGCTTTCTGTTCCATTAAATTCTCCCAATTGTTCTCAAGGCTAGTTTCTAAATCTTTTAGTTTGAAATGATAAAGTCTTTCAATATTTGTATGAAATATTTGTAATAAACAATGATACAGATGAGAGGATCCACATTGTTCAATCTTTCCCTTCTTCCGTCAGATATGTGGGCTGTTGTGATTCGAACATTCTTCTACGAGCAAACGGTATCTTTAATGTCTATATTATCTGCAGATTTTAGCTTGTTAGAATTAAGTTGATACCACCTGGGAAAAGCCATTCATTTTCTAAAATCCATACCCAAAAATCTCGATTTGAGTTTTGTAGGTAGATTGGTTATACTACATGGCATTTATATTTGTCGTCGTTGGGATTTTCATATATTCGAAGATGTAAGTTTGGTTATCGTTGTCAAAAAAACTTCGTATTTTTTCATAGAGAGATCAAAATTTCTCGGACTTGTAAACAATAATAATCGAGCATTTAGCAACCGAGTCATTAGAATGATATAATGTTTTTGCTGGCAGAGAAAAAGATCATGCAGAGGACAGTACGGGTATGGAAGATGCAAGTCCCAACTCTGAATATTGTCTCCTTCATGAAAAAATTTCATAGTCCTGAAAAAAAATTCTCTTACTTTACCAAGAAAATAAAATTTTATTACATATCATTAGAAAAATTGTTTTGACATTGATAAAGTTTATAGTTTCATTGTTATTGCACTAAAAAACCTAAAATAGTGATATTTATGTTTTTTGTTTAAAAAAAAAA